CATATATCCATGTCTATACATATATATATACAAATACAAATATACAAAAAATGTACAAAAATCTCAAAACTTAGTTATAAATATAATTGACTCAAATGGAAAAAGCAATCCTTTGATTTTTTTCGGGAAATTAGTCGTTAAGATTAGTCGACTAATAGATAAATTAGTCAGAATATTAGTTATTAGTGGCAGCTCTGGATCCCATTTGCTGGTCGGTCTGATTTTTAAGTTTTTTTAAGTTGTTTTTCCCAGATTCCCGCTGATAAAAAGCTGCTCTCTGCTGACCTGGTCTGTGGTTCTGCGTTTCCTCTCCGTTCTGTTCATCAGTCGACCCACTTTAGCCCGAAACTGGGTCAGAAAACCGGGCTAAGCCACAGATCTGGACACGATTACATCACCCCGGGAAATACGAGGAGTTTTACGGGGATTCAAGCCATTTTTTTTTTGTTAAACACACGTTTAGGATCAGAACTTTTCTCAGACTGAAAACTGGAACCTCTGTTCAGAGATGGTCCATTTTAAGGTGAAGCGCCTCGTAAAGCAAAAACAAGGCTAAAAATGAATAAAGATACAGCAAAAAATAAAAAACAAGGCTAAAAATGAATAAAGACACACCAAAAAAGCAAAAACAAGGCTAAAAATGACCAAAAAATACAACAAAAGACAAAAACAAGGCTTAAAATGACTGAAGAAATGCACAAAAAAATAAAATCAAGGCTTAAAATGACCTGGAACCTCTGTTCAGAGATGCTCCATTTTAAGATGAAGCTCCTCATAAATCCTCACGTTTTCCAGGTCCTGACGCATTTTTGTTGGAACAAAATCTCGTTTTTGTTCCTGAAACTGAAACCATTTCTGGTTATTTCAACTTCTGCCGCCAACTCATGCCGGAAAAAGGAAAAAAAATCTGGATAGTTTAGCCATTTTTGGGTTGAACACGGCCCTATATATACATACAGTTATTTATGTATATATTTATCTTTATTCTGTGTGGAATTTTGTGTATATATGTATACATGTACTGTATGTATATATGTATGTGTATATATGTATAGACATGTAAATATGTATATGCTGTATTTCTGATTCTGATTCTGAAAAAAACTCATTAAAGGGCTTTTTTTAAACTCTTTTTAACTGTTTCCTGTCTGTCCTCCAGATGCTGGACATCAACTGGACGGGACTCACCAACATGTTGGATATTCCTGGAGTAAAGTAAGCCCCCTCTGCCCAAACCTGCCGGTTTAATCAGGGGTGTCAAACTCTGTAATTATATTTGGCCCGCGAATACCAAACGACTCAGAGTGCTGTTATTATACTGTACAGACCATTAACGGCTCGTACTACAACTCCCATAATGCCCTGCTGTGACAGTAGGACACACTATAGCTGTAACTGTGCTAATGACCAAAAATGACCAAAAGAAAGGCAGCAAACAGGAGCTTTCTGGACAAGCTCATTTTGTTTAGGAAGGAAGTTAGGAAGGAAGGAAGGAAGGAAGGAAGGAAGGAAGAATGGATGGATGGAAGCTTTCTGGAAAAGCTAATTTAATTTAGGAAGGAAGGAAGGAAGGAAGGAAGGGTGGAAAGATGGATATATAATCTAATAAGAGTTGCTTGTTCCATATTCAATGTTAAAGCTAAATTCGTTTTGTTCCATATTAAAAAGTTCATTTGTTTAATCTTTGTTCAGGTTTTAAATTAAGCCCACTGTGTTTTTGAGTTAAACACCCCTGTTTTAGAGGCTTTTCACGCCTAGATAGTTTAGTTTTGTGTCACACTTAAAGTCCAAAGTGAGCAGACCAAAACAAACCAGTAAGAAAAGTCAAACTCCTTTGAGGAGTGGTGGTTCTGATATGTTAAAGCAGTTTGTTGGAGGAGGTTTCCTCTCTTTGGGCTTCATTAGTGATTCTGAAAGCGGCCGATTGCTTTTAGAGGCTAAGGGCTTTTCCCAGAAGCCATTATTTTAAAAGTCCTCCTGTTAAACCTGCAGCTTCCCATCATTCGATATGAATTATGTCTTTTTCTCTACTTTGTTTTTAAAAATAAATTAGGTGGATCATGATTAAAAACATTAAAAACC